CGCGGCAATTACCAGTCGAAAGCGCACCACAGGGCACACGGGTTTGCCGCACTCAGCGGTAATGATTGCATGGCCCGGTTGTCAATCAGTTCCCAGGTGGGTTTCGATGTTCCCGCACGCCCTTCTACAGCTGCGAAAGGGGGGGGCCGGGTTCCTTTGCAACACTGAAGGGGCTAACACGGGAGTGCCAGGCTGGGCGCGCCGGCAAGAGGCATGTGCGCCTGCGAAGCAGGCGTCACCAGCAGCACCGAGCTCTGCGGCAGCAGAGGGGTTCAGGGAGTGAGGCGGCGAAGGCCCGCTGTGCAGCGCAGGGGCCGCGGCCTGAGGCCCAAGCGGCTCGGCGATCGTCCAAGGGATCTGCAGGCCAAGGCCGAAACGGCCGAAACGGCAACAAGGGCGGCGAAGCGCCAGGGCCAAACGCAGCCGTCGAAGCAAAACACTGCCATGGCACGAATGCATTGGTCCCACACGAAGTGCCTGAAACGAGGCCGGGCTGGTAAGGGAAGGGACCGGTCGCCTGTCTTTTCAGGGCCGCATCGGCGTCAAGCGGCACGGCGGCGATGCTTCGCCGGTTCGCGTGAGGAAGGTCGCATCGACTGCGCGCTCGGAGCGTGTCTCGACTTGTCGACGCCCCGCGATAACAGGCAAAATTGTCGTTGGAGTGCCTTGCAGGTGGTGCTGTGGGCATAGGAGTGGAATCAATGAGGAACGCGCCCTCAACCCTTCACCCCTCCCTCTCTCTCCAAACCGCGCACGATGTGGGTTGGCCCATATAGAGTCATAGAGCGTTGAATTAGTTTCCGTTTCGGAGGGCGGTTCCACGAAAAACTCATCCCGCGACAGCTTGGCAAAACCTTGGCTGGTCAGGACGACGGCGGCTTGTTGGATGCAAAATCCGTCGGTTGCTGCGAAAAGCGGTGTCGTATGCGGCCTGTTGCGTTGAGATATGCCGTTACACTGCAAACCACTGACGTCAATGCAACGAGAACTTGTCGTGCCGATGATGTCCAGAGTCACACTGTCCTTGAACGACCTCGGGTTGTGGACAGAACGTGAAACGCTACAAGATTCAACGGAAAGTTTAACAACGACAATATCACAATTGTCCGACGCGTCTGTAGTATCAAATCTCACATGCGTCAGCGGCAAAGCATACCCTGGCCACGCATCATACATGGTCCGCAATTGCGCAGGCACGGTTGGTCGCTGTGGAGGTGCAAACCAACGTTGACAAATTGACGTGCTGTAGTCTGAAGACCGTCGAGAGATTTATACTGAAACGGTCACTGCTTCACGTTGCACTGCAAATTGATGAAACTCAGGCGGGTTTTCGCCGGGGCGCCGAAGAACAAGTTGACAAGTATGCACTCTAGCCGAAACTCTCCGTTTGCGGCGACGCAAACGAACATTTGGTGCGTTGTGGATGTCCGTAAGGCCTTCGATGTAGCTTGATTGTGGGTTGTAGAACGCGTAATTTCAATTTCACCCTTCATATGTCCCCCCCTGTCCCGGAGTACTGTTATTCGGATGTCGTCTTCCAATCTTCCTTAACAAGGTGAGCCTCTTTGTACGGACAGCAGCCGTAAATTTCACCGGTTCCTGACTTGGACGGAAAATCGCTGAGTGCACACCGGCTTTCGGCGCAGCTTGTTCCAGTCATGTGAGTCATACGTCTTCCCCTCTATGTTGTACGGCTGTCAGTTCCTCAGCACCAGGACAGAAACCTTTATGGACAAGATTAGGCCAACAACATTCCTCTCACTAATAATATGTCCATGCGCCGCATATGTGGGGAGTTTCGCCGGACTGCAGCAGAAGCACCGTGGCTTGCTGGAGTCGTGCTCGGGGGGCGTCCTGGCAGGACACGCTCTGTTATCAATGCGCGGGCACCCGCCGCCGCAGCCTCTCCTACATGCCCTATACGAGGGGATACCCTCCCCTCCACTGCCCAAGGCGCTGGCCCACCCCTGCCCGCTGCGCGCCACTGGGGCGAAGTCAAAGGCTGACAGCGACTGGCAGCCCGTGCATGCGATGAGCGCGCGTTCCAAATGCACCCCTTTCTGGACTCGCTCCTGCGTCCTGTGCGCTGCTGGCACTTCTTTCACAGGGGGACGCTTCGCGACGCTTCCGTGGACGGTCATCGCGTTCAAGGGGCTATGTGTAAGATTTTGCAAGAACGAAACACCCTCGCTGGGACCAGCCGGCATTGTCACACATTCGCAGAAGTTATTATAGCTGTGGTCATGACTTGAACTCTAATTTGACTCATCTCGCCTCCTTATGCTTCCGAGTTAGAATTTGGAGTCTAGGACTCTGGGAACAGTGAATTTCCCTCCACAGCCCAAGACCTGACTACAGTGGGAAATGCTCCGACGCCACAGCGTCTGCCGATCCCGTTCGATCCCGATCAGAGCGGATTCGCAAATCGCAGCTTCGCGACCTGCGATGACCTGATACATCAAAGACTGTAGTAATGTCTGATCATACAGCTTTTTGCTTTTGCCAATCCACGTGAGTGGCATGTCCGTCGAAAAAGGCAAGGGAACGATACGATGAGCATGCCAACAAGAATACTGGCGAAACACGCCGGGCAGAACGTACCCCGTACATTGTCGAATGGCCCACTGGGCAAAGCTTGCTAGTCATGACTCTGTGGTTGCCGATTGAAACGTGCACTTTGCCGCAGTCGCATGACCCGGTTCGCAAAAGGACCATGCTTCCAGTCCATGTGGCCGTGCTGGCTTGCTCTGTCATTGCGCCTGCCGGGCTGCTGCCAACTCGCTGGTCGCCCTTAGCCGACAATCTGCGGATGCACTTCAGAAGATAAGACATGCCATCAAAGCCTAAGTTCTCTGCATCCGGTCGACGGCATGGCTGCAAAAAGCGCAATGCCTCCTTGCTACACCACACTGGGCTTCTCCAGCATCGCCATGAAGGCCCTCTGCCAGAGCATACAAGCCCTGCGACTGATACTCAAACTGCTCAAAACGGCGCCGGTGGCCGTCTTTACATCTGAGCGAAAGGCAATTCCCTGTGTTTGCTACTGTGCCTTCGCACGATGCCGGAATGCAACGCTCAGCTGCGTGGAAGCATATTTGAGCAAAAAAGCTCGAATTTCGCACACGGCTGAAAGAATCCGCAGTGACAAGATGAAGAATCCCGCGGTGTGGCTCTCATAACACTCATGCATCCGCCACAATCATCACAGCATCCTCTCCTACAATAGCCGACGTAGGCTTTCGGGCTGGACGCGTCGAAATCTGAGTGGATCTTGGAATCGACTGCAGAGTGGGTGCATGCCTGGCAATAAGAGCCAAACGGACGAGGTGGATGAGAGCAAAACTTCACTTGGGAGATGTTGCCCTTTGAGCATTTCTGGACACCACTCTGTGCTGGACCGATCTTCTCCGTGGAACACCTTGCCAACGTGATGTCTGACGGGCCTCAGCTATGCGTGGCCACATTCGTGGAACACGTGACACGAGTTGGTGCAACGAACCTTTCTTTGGACGACTGTGGGCATCGTTGCAAGTGTCCAGCCCAGAGATGCTTCGCGGTACAACTTCATCCGTAGCATACACCCAGCCGCAGATTTTGGCTTCTCAACACAGTGAAGCCTTCGGAGTGTTTCGAGCGACGGGACTGGGTCTCTGTAGCGCGGATTTTGCCTAGTCGAAGACGTCAGGCTGTGTAGCGCCACTGAGACAGGTAGCCTGGAACAACACACACGGAGAATTGAGGGAGCGGGAACTTGCGATGGAGGTGCATCATGTGTTGGCAGTGCCTAGGGCCTGGGATCGGCCGTGAAGAGTGCAATGCAGTGAGGCACAGCTTTGTCATCTTCAACAATCAAACAGCAGCAGCGCTCTTCCTATAATCCTGTGACTCAAGATCGTGTAGGAAATCCTCCTCATATTTGGGTTCTTGGTGGTTCGTGTTTAAATTAATGAAACAAAAACAATGAAGTGACGAACGAAAGCGTGTTTTGTTTCTTTTAATTTAACCACGCACCACACCTTCTTTTTCAATTGTGTTATGTTTTAATGAAAAGAAAGAAAGCGTGCGTTCATTCCCTTCACTTACCTTTCTTTTCTTTCATTATAACACAACACAAAGGAAAAGAAGCAAGAACCCAACCTCTGTTTCCAAGTCTTATTTCGTTACCCTTTTTCTATTGTGCTTTTGCCTTAATTTCAATGAAATGGAATGAAAGCGAGAATTAGGCAAAAGAACAAACGAAAAATTCTAGTTGATTTCGTGCGTACATTCCTTTCCCTTACAAATCAACTAGAAAAATAGGTCTTTTGTTCTTTTCGTTCGTCTTTGTTTCTCTTCTTTTCATTCATTTCACGCTTCTCTCGCTTACGCTTCATTCATTGTAAATAACTAAAAAGAAGGGAAACAAAGCACTCTCATCTTTTAATAGGATTACATAAGAGGATTTACATTGGAAAGTTGTCATTAGAAGATAGGAGATTTCTATCATTGGAAATGACCTAAACATATAGGTGTAAAGTAATGACAATCCTTAAGTCAAACCATGTGATAGAAGCAAAATAGGAATCGAAAACAGTGCGTCTACAAGTCCTACTCGAAAGCTGTGCAACACACACTGCTGAGGGAAGGCGCCACCCCCCCCTTGCGCACGAAACTACCTGTCTAGTTCTTTCTTTCGTCAGGGCTAGGGGCAAGACGGTCGCCCCCCTCTCTCTTTCTCTCTCTGTCTCTCTCTCTCTCTCTCTCTCTCTCTCTTTTCTTTCTTTCGCCAGGGCTAGGGGTAAGGAAGGCAAGCTCCCCTCACCTCTCTCTCTCTGTCTCTCTCTCTCTCTCTCTCTCTCTCTCTCTGTATTTGTGTCTCACCCATGCTCGCAGATCCAAGCCATGAAGACGAAATATCTCGAACTTTGTGCATTTTGCGAAGTCATGTGGAAGGGCTGTGATGGCTCGATCGCTCATCCTCGCTCAGCTTTGGAGCACTGCCCGCAGTCCGATTAACGATCCTAGCCGGCGGCCACTGGCTTTGAGCAGCTCATTTCTGAGATTTCTCTACCACTACCGAGAGGCACACTTGGGACTTGGGAAGTTCCGCCGCTACCGCTCGTGCTCACAACCTTGCAGATACTGCAGAATCTTGAAGGCAAGCCACAAGCGCATGTGGCTTATGATGTCACGGTTTGAGCGCAAGACTTTCGCACTGAAGCCGCTTGACTCGGGTAGCCTGGCTTCTGCATCGGTGACTGCGGAATGCAAAGAGTACAAGCATGTAGGAACCGTTTGCCGTGTCGAAGAAAGCTGAGCTATAGATTGCAACAAGATCTGAGACTCGCACCCCAAGTATCTGGTGATTCCCACATTCAGGTCCGGCTCCGCTCCTCCGGACACCGTCGCAGACATGTTCTCCAGCTCTTGACACAAAGCGTCCCATGAGCCTGCAGAGTCACCAGAGTGCCTTGGCAAGGCCCAAGGTCGGTGGAAACAGCACCGTCGGGAATAAGGTGGCCTGATGAATCCCTCGCCATCAGCTTCCGGTGGCTGGAGGTCACCAACCTTCACATCTGTATTTTTTAACATGAGGCGTGGAGCTTGCAAAGGCTGGGAACGCGGCCACATGTCTGCATCTGTCGTCGCAGAACTTGGGCCCTGAACAGAACGGAAGGGCACTATAAAGTCGCAGAAAAGGGTTTGTTGGAGCCACAGAGCAGGTATCGCAAACGCGGGCACAGCGACAGAGACAGGAGGAGGCCTCGACGGGGACTGAGTCCCTCAGCTGGCCTGTCGGAGGCTGCGAAGGCCCAACAACCCCAAGTCCCAATCCCTCTCTCGAGCGGCCTCGGCACATCAGAGCCCCAGACTTCCTGCACATCTCGGTGTCATGCCATGCTTTGTTCTGTGCTACGGGGGTCGTTGCTCTCCTGAGCTTCATCGCCCATTGAAGCGGGGAGAGGCCGATCGTGCTTGGTCATCTGTGCAAAGCGCGCCCTACTCGGAAGTTCTCCCGCACCGGAAAGCATCCGCAGCAGAAGCGCCTCCACCACTCCATGATAAAGAGGACAAAGGCGCTTGTCGAAGGCCTGCAATGCTGACGCTGCATGAAGAGATCCCAGGACGGTCTGAGAGAGGGGGCAGCTCGCATCTTTTTTGCTTCTAGCACGAAGCAGCGAGCAGCGGCGCAAGAAGCAGCTGAACTCCTGGCGAAGGATCGGAGCGCGCACCGCAACTGCAACGTCCTTCACCGGTGAAGGGGCCAAGGCTCGCCTTCTGGAAGGCCTCTTCCTCGAGGAGCTGAGACCCAGTTGTGATCTCCCGCAGTCTTGGAAAGCCTGCGCCGCTGCGTGAATCCATGGCGGCCCTGCATGGCATGCTCTGCCTCCATCCGCCAAGCCCTTCAGCAGGTAGGCAAGCGCAGAAGCGTCGAACAAGTCCTGCAACGCTCCTAGGAACTGGGCCTGCATTGAAGGGCTCTCTGTTTCAAGGGCGCCTGGTTTCCCGACAGCACCAGCTTGGTGAGAAAGCAGCACCTCCTGAAAGCAGAGAAAGAGAAAGCGGGCCTTTCTGGCGCAAAGTCTCCGGGAAAGGGAAAGTCTCTGGGAAAGTGATCTCCTGAGCAGCTCTCCCAGAGCTTCCGCGGAAGAAGCGCCGAGGCGGCAGTTCGTGAGGTTCAGCTCTTCGAGCTGCCGAGCATCGCCTGAGCAGACACTTGCGCCTCCTTTCCGGATAGGACAGGCTGCAAGCAGCTACTAGTAGAAAGGCCAACAAACCTTGAGAGCCCATCAAGCCAGGACTCCTTCCACTTCCCAAATCTCGGTGAGGACACGGAGACCGGTCGCCGTGCAAAGCTGCCAGCTACCGGCAAGGCTCAGAGAAGCCAGCTCCGGACACTGACGTAGAAACCGTCCTTGTGCAGCAAGTCAACATCCCATGCAACTGAACGACTTGAACAATTATCGCCAATGAGCCAAGATGGGGAGCCGCGTGTTCAGTAACTCCGCAGCCTCCAAAGTGCAGCGACCTCGACATACCATCAGCAGGAAATGGTACTGTGCAAACTCTCCCGGCCTGAGTGGAAGGCGAGCTTCTCCGAGCCCTTTCATCAAGCCTTCCAAGCCCGCAGCTGTGCAGATCTGAGCGTGTCCTCGTCAGCTGGGCTTAACATGCAACTTCAGAAGCCACACAACGACCGAATGATTCCAGCAACTGAGCCTACTTTGGACGAAGCTGCTACGCGTGCACGAAAATCAGAACCGGGTCGCCCAGCAAGCAAAGCTCTTGGAGCTGCGGGCAATGCCGAAGGAAGATTCCAAGTGCTCGTCCCTGCAGGGGTGCGAGCATCTGGCCACCTCAAGCAGCCAGCACTTCTTATGTTCAAAGCCTCGCCACTGCTCAGCACCCCAAGCCTGTGAGCAAATGCTCGTGGCTCAGGTCCAACGCTTGGATCCTGAGCTATTTTATACATGCAGTAGGCCTCGTTTGCCTGTGAAACACGATTTTTTACCTGTCCTTGCCCAGGCTCTCGGGAAGTCGAACACGCGGAGCTTGCCGTGGTCTGGCGCCCAGGATCTCTACTGCAAACCGAAGCTCCTCGTGCAGCTGAACCCTTCAGCTCATATGGTGGCCCTCCTCTCGTCCATTCTCTCGTCCTCTGCTGAATGTTTCAGGGCTGCGGCTCCGAGGAGGTCGCCTAAGCCCCGCAGGCGCCGGGCCATTTTAACGGCTGTTGACCGCAGGCGCGGCCGTCGGTGAACCTGCCAACTGCAAATTGCAAAGAGAGCTGAGGCGACCAAGAATAGGCACGTGACTTGGGCATGCCCGTACCTCGGACAGGGGCCCATTTGAGGTTCCGTCTCCCCATCGGCATGCAATCTGCATCGCTCGCCAATCCAGCGGTCCTGCATCTGTTGCACACGTGCACCGTCACACACGAGAGGCTGTGCATCCACATGCATCGACAGAGCCACGCGAAACTTGCAGAGCAGCAGCTCTGAAGCTGATCGGTCCAGGAAGCAGACACCGTAGACACTCTCTCACCGCTGATTGCCTCAGGGTTTCCTAGTCTCCCACTGCATCTTCAGTCCGGGCCAACACTCCACCAGGCCTCATAGCCTGTAGAAAGCCAGGCTTCTTGCCGCAGTTTTGATGGCCTTTCCCTCCACAATGGCCGAGCTCCGCCCAAATGCGCTGGGAGGTACGACACTGCGAAACTTCCAGCTGCCGTAGCGCAGGACAGCGCCGAAGAAAGTCTCTGAGTGCTGCCTGCGCAATGTGCAAACTGCTGGGAAACACATCGCACCCAGCCACCGACCTAGTTATGACAGGAGTATGTGCATCATCGTCAGCATGATTCAGTACCATCATCGTCATCATCATGACCACCACCTTCATCTTCATGACCATCTTCATCACCGCCATGACGCTGATGATCATGATCACCATCATCATCCTCATCATCATAAAACCATGAAGCTTGCGCAAAGTGACATTGGCTCACACATCAGGTCTGCTGACAACTAAACCCCAAACCTTTGCAAGTCGTCGCCCTGCAGGGCTGCAACCCGTGCATCAAAAAAGAACTAGACGAACCCGAGATGTCATGACCGAAATACAGCAAGTAGCAAAGCTAAGGCATCTCCCCGCAGGATTCATGAAAGTTCCTAAACCTCCAATTCTCAACCGAGTAGTGGACCGCTGACACGAAAAACTCCCAAATGCAATGGTTGGGCTGCAGAAGCGTAAACATCGAAAAACAAACCGCCTGTGCTTCAAAGTAACCCGTGGGCAGAGCTTTCGCAGCATCGGCACGATCCATGCTCGGTGCAAAGGGGGTGCGCTTGATCATTTGAGTACCATTTCATACAGAAACTCGATGGCACATCCCAGCCTCGGCTCCAGAGCCCAGCTGACAGCCGGTCAGCTGCAACATGCGCAGCGTAGAAAAAGTGCCCGAAGCTTCTGCCTAGCCGAGCTGTCCAAGAAATGACACCAATCTATACGTATATGTATTTATATATATATATATATATGTTATATATATATATATATGTATAATTATTATATATATATATATATATATGTATTATATTATATTATATTATATTATATTATATTATATTATATTATATTATATTATATTATATATATATATTATACTTTATATATATATATATAAGTATCTTATTATTTATATATACATACATGTATAGAAACATACATACGGGACGTTAAACAAAAGTGGCGGACATGCACAGCCTGTGCCAAGTGGCATTGCGCATGCAACTCATTCCCTGGACCAGGCCGCGCAGCCCAAGGGAAGTGTACATTGCCACATTCCAGTCCAGGAGCAGCCTGGGCGATGGGCGTAGGCCAGAATCGGGTCGCTAGATGTTACGAGTCCGGCCAAAATTTGCCAAACATCGAAACTCTGCGATGAAGTCGCTTGTCACGAATTCCCGCATGGCTTCTTACCGTACCGTGGTCTGGGGTCCTGGCTCTTGCAAGTCCGGCATGTGGCTCAGCCAGCAGGCCAGCTTTGCCGCAACTTTGGCAGCAATGTCGCAATGCTTCAACACCTGATCTACAGGCATGGTCTCCACAGTGAGGAATAGCAGTCTCCCCCAGGGACCCGACAAGTCTCTGCAGAGCAAACACCTTCTTGTCCGCTGCTCTTACAAGGCCTGCCAGGATGGAAAATCTAGGAATCTGCGACCTGTTGAACATCTCCTAAGTCTGAACCACAATGAAGGACATGCCTTCCAGCCCTGCCGGCGTCATCAGCCGGATGTTGAAAGCCAGGTTCAAAGTCTCCGAAGGACATTTGTCAAGACATGGCTGCTTGGCTGTGCTCTCTGCCCGCTGTAATGCTGCAGGTCCTGCAGCGGGCATCGTGTCATGATGTCCACGAGAGCTGAAGAGTTGGCTGGCGAGAGCTCTGCCGCGCACAGGTTAAGATGCCTGTCGCTGGAGGAACGTCCAAGCGATACTTTCTGTTCTTTCGTAGCAAACAGCACTATCCCATGCTTGCCAGACCCATTGCATGGAGCCTGAGCTGGAGCTGTGCACTTCCCAGGCCGCAGAGTACGTTGTAGAGGCCGTCGCCCTGCAGGAGGCCTGGCGCTGGGTTAGAGCAACGTCAGCTTCAGCATGGAAGGAGGTGGTGACAAAACCAGCAGTTCCACGTAAGAAACAGAGAATGTCAGCATCGACGATACTCTGTAAGGCGCCCCACCATCACAGTCGGCTAAGGACAGGTGCTCGAGTTTAGAGCTCTGCAGCCAAAGACCCAGACTTCTACCTGCAGCTTTCAGGATGCAGAGACACGTACCAGACGCAACAATTTCTCAACCTGGCCTTGTTTCGGAATCAATTGCGAATGCCAGAAGCTCAAGTCGAGAGCCTGCACTGAGGGATCCCAAAACCAGATGCTGTTCACCAACACTGCCAGATATGCAAAGGACTTCGCTCTCGGCACCTGACTTTTCCCTGCACGCCCTTGGGCCGCGCGCCCAGCAGCGTCACAAAGAAGCGCTCGCTTTCCACGCTGAGCTCCGCAGACTGGACACGGTCGCCTAAGAGATCCTCTCGAGGCAGCCTGCCGACTGCGCACTTGAAAACTCTCCAAACGCGGATTCTTCTCACTTTCGGGCCTGCGCAGCGTGCAGATGCACCTGCCGACGGCTGACCGTAGTCGTGGATCAAGGTGCACCTCAAAGCCAAAAACCCGAGGTCCGAGGCCAGCTTCGGCAGGCGCGGAAAACATCGGTGCCTTGGCCAGCAGATCCTCCAGTCCGGTTCGCCAGCGGCAGGCGCATTGGAGCGCCCGCCTTCTCAGTGGTCCCCAACAGGGCACAACCGTGGAGGCGACCAACTCCCGACCAGGGCACCAGTCCAAAGGATCGGGGAGGAAGGCGAGCAGGGTGCTGCGACAATCCACAAACCTGAACTCGTGGGACCCAGGCCGCCGGGATCTGAAAATCCGGATCCCCATCCAAGACAAGTTGCAGAAACGACGCGGCAGGCTCTGGCCAACATGCGGTCATGGCTCACCATGGCATCATGAATCATGCATGTCGGTGAAGTCGTCCGTCTCCGAACTCCGATCTCTGAAAGGTGCACATCATTCGGTGAGATGTTGTTTGTTGTGGATCTCTTGAAGAAGTATGCACGCACAAGCTGTTCGAGCTCGTACAGCGGCTGCCGGTCAGCACCGCACTGACTTTGTTCGAATCACACAGTTTCGTGGTCGCAGCGCCTCTTCAGGCAGACGCAGCTGTCGAAAATCATAGTCCTGAGCACCGAAAACTCTGCCTCCGAGGCGGAGTCACAGAAGGCTGCAAGTGATTACGACGGCTACGAGGTCGCAGCCGGCAACGCAAAGAACTCCATCATAGGCCTTTGCATGCCATGTGCCGCGCCAACTGCACGAGTTTGTCCATTCGCAATGACGGACCTCCACAGCAGGTCGACATTGGCCAGCAAGTCGTCGTTGTGACCTCGCAACAGCTCGGACTCTCTTTCGGCTACGGTCCTGCGTAGCAAACATTGAGTTTCACACCCATTCCTGGAGGACTGACGAAGCGCTTCGTTTTACCTTAGTTGCACAGGCTTCGGCCATTTTGGGTGACTAAGCCTTTCGGAAGAGTACCCCTCTCAGCTGGGTCGAATGCTGGGACAAAGCTCCAGAAGCTGCCTGCCTCAGTCTTCTCCAAACACACACTTTCCAAAGTTCTGTCAGGCATGGGCAGGAAGACCCCGTCCCAGGTTCAAGTGCTTTCACTACTTCACCGACGCCACTCTGACAGTTGTGAGTCGAGAATGCAGATCGTCAAGGACCGGAGCAATCGGCATCAAGCGACTCTCACTACGAGGCAGAGAAGAGCTCGGCTTTTGCATCGTACTTACCATGAAGCGATCGTTCAATCGCTCAGCGCTCAGTATCCGCTAGCTGCATAGATCCAACTTCCCGATGCCTTGCGAACAGTCCACGAGCATGTCCCGGTCACCGTGGATGACGAGAACTGGAACCTCCTCAAGCCATCAGCAAGCATGTATGCGTCGTTATGAGTCAGGGGAAGTCCGACTAGCAAATGCCACACTACGTGCGAAGAGAATGAGGCGCACCCATGGAACCTTTTGCTTCAGCATCGCGGTCTTCGCTGTCTTCTGCTGGCTCATGGTGTCCTTCGGGCCCTTCAAGTGCTGAACTGTCTGATGTGGTCGACTTGCCAAACAGTTTGTCGTGCCATTCCTCACACTCCGAAACGAATCTCGGGCCTCATGACAATATACTGCAGTAACGGGTAAATGGTGTAACATGTGTGCCGTACCTATGTTCAGCCTGCACTTTACATCCTGTCTGCGCAAAAAGAAAGCGTCACCCACCACACATGAACCACGGATCCTCTGGCTCGTCGGACATGCAGAACCTGGCTGCGAAGCGTGGCTGTTTGCAGTGGTCACTTTGGAAGTGCCGCAGAAATTCTCGCTGCGCCTGTCGTAGGCCCAGACGATTCGGTCGCGATCCACGGGAAACTCAGTCATTTTTGAAAACTGCTTACAAAATCTCACAAAGCGAGAGCTGGAAATGCCTTTGCCGAGGCTCCAGAGGCGTGCAGCGAAGCAATCGCCAGACAAAGAGGATAAGGCCCTTCAACGCGCCGTACCTCTTCACGACCTCTATACCATACCTGCCAGAAACAAGCGAGGCTAACGAAAGCCACAGAGCGGAACCATATTTTATAAAATGCGAACACTTGTGCCTGGAGCAGCTTGGAACATAGCGACAGTTTGGTGGAAGCGATGGCGAGATGTACTGCCGGTAGAAGCGCAGAATGCTCAGAAGCAGCTCGGCGGCCCCGGACTCGACCGGATTATCGCTTTCCCGGAGGGAGCGAGACGGAGCTTCAGAAACGAGCTCTGCTTGGTCGTCCTTTTGACCACTGGCAAAGCGAGTTGTGCAGCGTCGTCCAACTGCTGCAGCTAGAAAGCAGATTCTGAAAGAAGGTCGTTGAGGTGATCTTGCCTGGAGGGGACAAGAATTCAGCAAGAGGCGTCCGTTTAACAATCTTCGGGCAGCCAGGTGTATTTAAATCCAATTAAAGTCGACACGACGGGTAGCGACGAATCGCTGGCTGGTATGGAACAATCGACTAGAACATCTGCTCAGTGCATCAAGGGATCGGCATGATGCTGTGCATCCAATGCAAATATTCGTGAAGCCCAATGGGAAACCCAGCTCTACAAGCCTTAGGCAGCTAAGGGGGCTCAGAATCATGCAAAATACACAAAACTAGATTGGGCATTTATGGCCTTATACGGGATAGCCAGTTGTTCGCAGGAAGACAGGTTCAGAAATCTGGAAGTGGTGCTGTCGGATAGAAACCCCTTCAATCGCCACAGAAGTCTTACCATTCCAAAGGGGTGCGGCGGTTTTGTCGGATTCACGCCTGGACATGCGCAATCCGACCCCTCCTCTGGCGGAAGGGCCGCTCCGGCACACCACGGTTGGACAAGTGGAGAGACGTTGAGAGTGGACAGTGCATTCTTTGATGCCAGTCGGACAAGCAAAGCAGATGTTTGTTGAATGAGGCAATGCGGTACTTCCCTGTTCCTCCTAAGCTGGCAACTCAAATGACACACTAAGAGCCTGCCGTACCCCAAGCCGTGGTGATACCAAGCATGTGAGCTTCAAAAGTCCGATGCAAGTCAAGTGAACTACGCTGCAAGCCAAGAACGAGCATCACCAGTAAAGCAGGGCGAAAGCAGTGAGTGGCTCGGCAGCCACCTTGACCGTCTTGATGACCTCACTGTTGCAGAACATGTTCTTGACCAGGAGCTTCGAGGCTTCCTGCCCAACGAACCTCGAGTCTCCAGATGCAAAAGCTCTATGCTGATGAGCACTCCGGACATCTACATCCGAGGCAAAACTTGTGTGGTGATGCTTTAGCTTGATGCAGGCATGAGATTGCAAGGGACTCTGACAACAGCGCGGTCTCGAAGATGATAAAGTACATGTGAGCCATCGGCTCCAGAAACACGGGGTGCATGCTTGCTGCAAGCGGGTGCCAAAAAAAAGTCTCGTGCCAAGTGGCTGCCCCACAGCATCTTGGAGGCTGAGGAAGGGGGCAATCAGAACGAGGCCACAAGCTGCGGACGTCGCAGCCTGAAGCGTAACACATGCCGTTGAAGAACGAATACAGATGCCAATCGCAGTGTCTGGAATGCTGGTAAGCAATGCTATCCTGATCATGGGCCGACTGGGATTCGAGCCACTTGCAGCGCAACAGCAGCACCCAAACTGCGGCCAATTATGATGATGTCTGACGAAGGTATGCGAAGAACCTGGCAGGCATGGGCGGCATGGGACAAATGGCAGTATCAGAAACCCTGTGAACAGCTGTCGACTTGGCCTTCTTCACGAAGTTCAGGCAGATCTGAGACGCCTGACGGAAGCTCTCCTGTGCAAAGGATGGGGAAACTGACGAAATGCGGTTGCATGAAGCTCAATTGCACATCTCCTCCGACGGCTTGCCGGGACATATGCCATAGCCAGGATACTCCATTATCAGGACGTGTACCTGCACAGGGAATTCAGTGACGGAATTGAAGCGAACAGGCGAACAAGCCTCAAGGAGATGCCGCAACCGGCATGCAAAGTTGTAGCACATTCCCAAGTCCTAGCAGCAACGTCAGCCAAGGATCTTCAAGACAAAGGTTGCTACATGTTCGACGACACGAGAGCAACTCCAGCTTCAATGAACTGTCAAGAACTGAACTCGTTGCAAATTCTGCTCATGTGCCCGTACTCGCCGTACTGACAACAAAGCTGCGCTTGCGCATTTCTTATCGCCGAATGTCCTCGCCGTTGCTGTGGTGGAAAAACACAAGGTATCGAGCACCGACACCTTACCGAGGAAGATGCTGTGCCCGGCATGCCAGTCTGGCGGCCCCAGTCATGAGCATCCAGCACTGCAGGAACAAAGCTGGAAGGCAGGCGCCAGGATCACCTGACAGCATTGGACATTAAGTATTCGTCCGGACGAAAACACTGCTTGATGCAACCACGATGACTTGAGACGCTCTCTACCTGAGTCTTTGACGGACATTGTAGTCCAAAGATGCTGGTATCCACAGCAGCTCGCCAGGAAAACTGAAAGGCCCAGGCAGTAGAAAATACGAATCATCGACCGATCACTGAGACTACACCATCGACAAGCTACCTCTTTGATCAGTCTGGGCGCCTCCTGGCAGTGTACGTCCTCAATGTGAGCACACAACATGTCTGAGATTCCAAATAACTTGCAAAGACCAAAATGTGCAGCTGATAAGGCTGTTGAAAAGATACTGCAGGATGTCCGAAGTGCTGTCCAAGCTGCGGAGAAGGTGCAGGGAAGAAAAATTGTGAGACAAAGGAGCGTATCATCTGGCAACCATCATGACAGCCCGCACTTCAAACTATGATGAAGTAACTGCGTCGCGGCCTTTCGCATTAGGCATGACAAAGACAGGCTCGCTTGCAATGAACGTTCGAAGGTATCCTCTGTTCTAACACTCGCGCAATCTCTGCAGCGACATGCAGCGGCAATCCTGTCTGCCTATCAGCCATGCTGTCTTGCGAATTTTGCACGGCCCCGAACTTTCGCTCTTGTCAAAACTAACAGGGCAAACATGCAATGCAGCCTTCAGAGAACAGTTATATACAAACATTCGGACCCAAACTCATCTCGAAGCTCGGAGGTTTGGATATTGTAACACCCTCGAGAAAAATCCGGCTTATTTGCTGTCGTTCATGCAACATGAAGCTAAGATACACACTACACTTGACATGTTTGCGTTGGAGGCATGCCGAATCTGAAGCGGCTGCTCTGTAGTGTTCGTATCAGGCTTTCTGATCCACGTCCGGCAATTTTCCAGGCTGTTTTCTGTTTTGGGTTTCTTGAAAACTTGCTGATTTTGTAACCACGCAGCTTGTCCTGCGAACTTATCTGTGTGAATGGGCCATAATGTTGCATGTTCTTCATTTTCCCATGTTTGCAACCGAAAACAGACTCTCCGCAGCATTCGCAAAATGTATTCCGCAGACATATGCAAAGGTTCTTCTTCAAAAACTTAACCCGCTGTTGGGATTCGGTTGCCGGAGGACGTTTGCATGAATTTCCACACTAGAAGACGTTTCAATGGATTTCCAAGGCCCCAGTTGACAAGACAACTTGTGTGCTTCCGGCACCAAGATCGGCCGCTCTTTTATTTTCGAGAGATTCCAAGCAGTTCAGCTTCCTCCCAGCTTTTGCTTCTGCCACCTCAAGAAGAACTTTGGAGAAACTTTGGTGTGAAAAAACCAGAACACTAGAAACGCAAGCTTGCGCCATTCGAATGTTTTCAACCTTTGATTCAAGCTTCTAAATGGCTTTTTTCGAAACGAAGAAGATTGCTACAAAACGCTGCAACGGCATCCATCCGTCTGATTTCCGATGGAACGTTAACCAGCCGGCCGCTCTGGCACATTGCCGCGGGAAGCGGAGCGATGTGCTTGCCATCGCGACCCTGAAATCTGGAAAGCAGGGCATCTAAGAGGCTGATGTTGATCTGAGACGGGAAATCAATTGTTCTTGTCAATTTCATTTGGATTGAATGCAGCAGCCGCCGTCGACGAGGCCTGCTCGTGAAAAAATGGATTTAGACCGCGCGCAAACGAATTCACTGTTGGAGTTCAGACAAAGGGTTTGGATATCGGATGCAACACTCTTGCGAATTGCTGCATCCCTTAAGATCTGCCTTTGCAAGCCTTTTTGCCACTATGGCACGGACAGCTCACTCTGCCATGGCCGCACGTTGGCGTGGCGGTCGCATAACATGGGACCTGCTGGTAGATCTTGGGGGCCGGTTGAAAGTTAGGTTAAACAAAGTTACAACCTTGCGTGCCCAAAGTTCCAACTATTTGAACTCTAACCCCAGGTTAGGGTTCGGGTTGAACCCTAACCTCAGGTTAGGGTTGGAGTAAACTCCAACTTTTGAACTTTTGTTTGAAGTTCAGGTTCAACTCCAATTCCAACCCCAGGTTCAGGTGACACTGCTTGGGTTTTCCAGTCTAGTCTGCTCCGCCCGAGTTTCCACGCGTAACTCGCCTGCGGACCCCTGCGATTTTAAATGGACCCGCAATGTCGTGTTGGCAGATTCCGATAATGGGCCCGCCTGGCGGCGAGCGGACCGCCAACAGAAGCGTGAATTGCAACAGTGTACCGGATCAGGTACGAGCGCCGACGTATACGCAAG